ATGATTTTTGTAACACATACTTGTAGCTTTAATTAGTGACTACTAGAAATATTGTCTTCATTAGATAATTGCTGACAAAACACTTTCATCTTGGCATTTGTTCCCCCAACCATGTTTACTAAATGAATGTGCAACTATTGCCCTGAATTTGGTGTGGGGCAGCATGCCCACCAGCTGCACAGATTTCTATTCTCAGGGCCTAGCTTGTTGTGGCACATCTCTGTCTTTCCAGCCAACATTGTTACACTGTGCTATAGGGAGGTATGGGACATTTTTCTCTGTAATGCAAGAGGCCTGGTTCGATCCCAGCTGTGGACGATTTGTCTTGCATTAGTTTTGACAGTGCTACCGATAGCTCACTGTTCAGTAAGCAATGGCAAGTAAACATAAAATTGGCAAAGAAAAACCATTACAGCCAAGAAATGCTGGGGTTGGTTCTGCGATGTTCTGTAAAGGATATGCAACTAACTTCATAGCATGAAGCCTGAGCAGTTATGGTGAGACCATGCATTTTCCATGCGCATTGATCGCTCTCTGGACCTGCCTTGTTTACTCCAAAGGAAAGGTAACACCAATATATGTCTTGAACAAAGCATGCTGCTGAAGCTGCCCCGGGTCTGACAGCAATGCTCTGCCTCGTCATCAGAACAGCAGTGCTCTGTCTGTCATAGCTTGCAGGATGTTCAGTTTTATATATGCAGGCCAGAATTCTGCATTAACACATAACAGCTACTACGACTACTAAAGGTCCCTGACAATGACCAACAACTAACCTTAGCAAATTCAATGAGCGCAAATGTCAGTTATCAAAAGATTTATCTTCCACTGTACACTGGACCATTGACTGGTCCTATGATGTCCACCTGGACAATTTTATTGGCTGCTTGTACCAGCTCCTTGTTCTAGGTTAGTTACTGCTTTTTGTGTAACATTTTGTCACATCTGTAACAATGCTTAATACAAGTTCCACTTCAATGAGTATTAGTTAGTACCTTTCCCTATCTTCAAATAACAGTGTTCCATTACAGGGGTTATGCCATTCAGAAATGGACCTCACAGCCCATGGTGATGATAAGCATGACTAGAAAAACCAGCATGTGTTCAGAAAAATCCTCCCCACAGTAAGATCATCATCATTAATTTCCACTTGTGCAGTAAGCATTATGGAAAGGAATAGTTTGCGATCCATTGCATTATTGATGGGCAACACTGGCCATTGTCATTCTGAGTTGACGTAGAAGCTCTTTAATGTCATCAGTTCATCTTCTTCAAGGGCAGCCTCTTGCTTTCATTTCAGATATTTTCATATGTTACGCCTGCGTTGGTAGTTGTTCTGGCTCCATTCTTATCAGATGACTAAACCATTTGATCTTCTGTTTCGTAATAAATGTGTTGCATGGTGGTGTTCCTACAGTCTCAGAGATAATATCATTTTTAAGTTTATCTTGGATGGTTAAGTCTGTGGCTTTTCTCATACACCTCATTTCATGGGTGTTCATTTTACCCACAATAAGTATACAGGATATCAGGACCTTTGTTGGCATTACAAGTATCTTACATGTTTCTTCTCGCATGATCAGCTCTTCAATCCTTTTCTCATGCAGCTCAATTACTTCACATTTTATCATTTTAGGAACAGCTGCTGGTTAAGACTTCCTATTTTATACTACTGCTCTAATTTTCATATATGAAAGCACCCATCTCAAATACTTCTATCAAGATCTCATCCCCTTTGTTGATATGTGAGCCGGAAAAACTTTAAAATATTTAATTTAAAAAAAAACCAAAGAAACTGAATATGAATGCCACCATACGTAAGATATTTGAAACATTCTCAGTTCTCCACATGCTTTTCATTCTATACGACTGACTCAAGTATTTAACCAGTTTTTGCAATAACTGTGGAGAATCCAATTACCCAGCAGTTAGGAAACGCCTCTTTAATCAAGAATCCTAAGTTCCACGCCCCAGTAGTACAAAGCATACTTGTACATGAAATGCTGCAAAAGGCAAGAAACCAACAGTCTCCATACACATGAATCAGATCTGTAAAACAGATGTGACTACAACACTCAGTTTCTAAAACAGAACTAGAGTCCAGAAGTGGACGTACGGCCAGAACTTACCCCTGGAGTTTATAGCCAAGGAACATTCAGAAAACACCATTTTCATACTTTCCAGCATATAGTGTCAATGTTTTTATAAATCTACAAGCAAACAAGGGACAATTTACACGAAAACCTGGAGCAGGTCACCTCAGCTAGAAAGCTGGTGAAGAGGAGGACAGAGGCAGATCAAATGAGGAGATTTTGCGGCATGGACTATAAGAAGCACAAGCACAGCCAGAGACAAAATATTTTTCCCCCAGTGATAAGGAGATATATGACAGGAGACAATAATGATGCTACCAGACAGTCAGAAGAAGATCTGTGACAGCAGAGAGTGAAGATACTATCAGACAGTCATAAAGAGTTATGTGACAGCAGACAGTGAAGATACTACCAGACAAAGAAATATGTGACAGCAGAGAGTGAAGATACTACCAGACAGTCATAAAGAGTTATGTGACAGCAGAGAGTGAAGATACTACCATACAGTCAGAAGAAGATATGTGAGAGGAGACAGTAAAGATACTACCAGATAGTCAGAAGAAGACATGTGATAGTAAAAAAGTAAAGATACTATCAGAAAGTCATAAAGAGATATGTGACAGCAGAGAGTGAAGATACTACTAGACAGCCATATGAAGATATGTAACAGAGATGACACTAGCTTTCTGATAGAAAATAAATGGCAAAAGGTTAAATATGCCAGGTAAGCACAATGAAATCTATGACAGCTGAGCGTAAAGACTCCTGAAGGGTGTGAGTTTGGTCTACAGGAGGAGGCAGTGTGTTTACCTCCGGTGGGGATGGTGTCTTTAGAGATACAGTGTTTCATGCTATTTGCACCACTCTCAATAAGTAAACATTCACTTTGCAGATGAAGACAGACCAAGCCATATGGGATAATACACAGTGCAATGAAACTGGACCTCTAATGAATAAACTGCCTGTGTGCTACCAGGGCCCTCACAGGAAAGCAAAGAATAGTAACACAGCATCCTACCAGGCATATCCTGAGGGGCAGGGTTGGGATTCAGGTTCCCTGCCTCATCCTGTAAAAACAATAGCCTCAAAAACCAACCAACCATGGGAAAGTAAAAAAGAGAAGCAAGAAAAACCCACCCAGCCAAGCCAATGGGAGGCTCTTCTAACAGAAGAAAGATGACATGGTGCAGATCAAGCCTAAAAGAGTCAGGATCGTCGACACACCTGCTTAAAACCTGAGAACAATATAACTAGAATGTCTTTGCACTGGAACCCACAGAGGCATATAAATAAAGGTGGACCAAAAAACAAATGGAGAAGGGAGCTATGGAGTGAAGTTCAATAAAAGAGGAGGACATGGGGTGGGCTGGATGCAATATTGAAGGACAGAATGGCTTGCCGTGAGTTGGTTGAGGGCCTATGCTACATTGTAGTTTAGAAGGCAGAAGAAGAATGAATAAACACCCCATTTGTTTAGGAGAAAGATAACAGCAAAGAGTAAAGATTCTAGATGGTAACCAGGAAGGAGACAGAGGATGGTATGATAAAGATACTAGACAGCTAGAAGTGTATAGGACAGTGTTTCCCAACCTTTTTTATGTGTGCCATGCTCCACTTGAGCCTTTTTTAAATTCTTGGTTGGTTTGAATTGAATGCAACCCAAAAGGCGAAAGAGTGAATGAACAAACAAACTTTATTTTCAAAGAGTTAAGAATTGGGCACACAGGCCCATCTTACATTCTGCCCAACTAATCCCCCTCTTTTCATTTTATATCAGTTAAGGATTTGTAAACATCATCAAGAGTAGCTAAATATTAAATACAAGCATTAGAATGTACTTGAACTGCACCTACATTTCTAACCACAGGAAACCATAGTATTTATAATAAGTCTAGGGGTACCACCAAAGAAATAAAGGAAGACAAAAACAAAATGAAGATGAGATTAAGAGGCAAGAGTTGAATAAATGGGATGGGAGGATGTGGAGTGCACTTGTGTGAGGATAACAGACAGAGTAGACTTGATGCTTGATGTAGTTGGCTGAAGGCCTATTTTCCACTGGATGATATCAAAGGCGAAAGGTAACCCCCCCCCCCCCCCCCCCCCCCCCCCTCCACCCCCCCCCCCCCCCACCCCCCACCCCCCCCCCCCGTCCCCCCCCCCCCCAAGTATGATCTGGCAATATAAGTGATTCCACAGTTTTAACCAATGAACTATTTATCCTAATCATATTAGGCAGGCAAAAATGGAACTTATATTTCAGTAACCAAATACAACACAGCTTCATTCATTGAGAAATTATTAAGAACAAGGATTCAAATGTATTATATCAGATATACATGTCTGTGTAACTTAGGATATGACTTGCTAGTAATGTGTTGAACATTGTCATTACTGCTTATTTTATTAGGCTAATAAATTTTTACCAAAACCAGAATTATTAGAAATTTCAAATCAGAGGTGCCAGGTATCACCACTGAAATAGATGTGAATATAGTATTTAAGTTTAAGGTTTTATTTATTTAGATTGATTTAGACAATGTCCTGTTTAAAAAAAATATTAACAATTATTTGAATTATAGAGAACTATCTAAGTTTATATAAAACCATCATGTATTTTCTACAATCTACACAGTTTGACCAGTTCAGTCATTCTCCAAATTCCACTCAATTCTAGTTTTGCAGCTAGCGACTGCTATATAGTATATACTATTATCATTATTTCCATTACTGTTGGGGAGACTGATAACATAACAGTTGAACCACTTTGTTCGGACGTACATTTATTTATTACATTTGTGCTATATGTTTACCTAATAATTTACATATTTTTATTTTAGAAAAAAAAATTCTGCACGTCGAGATTAACAGCAATGTTAATATTACACTGAAAGCGAAATAACACGGTACCTGATGCAGGGCTGTCAGTCCATCGACGTTGGCTGTGTTGATGTCTGCACCTCTTTGCAGCAATTTTTCCACTTCTTCTTTATCCCCACTAGAACAAGCAGCCAGAAATACACAGCCATCTTGAAACTGAACTTTAGTTCTATTTTTCTTAGGCGAAGGTGGCTCTAAATTAGTATCCGAACCCTCCCAGCGTTTCACTTGTTCGTGCCTTCTTATTAAGGCACTAACTTGTTTCTCATCAGCCGCCATGTTGTCAGATCCGACCTCTTTCCTTGACCTTAGGCGCCATCTAGCGAATAGGAAAGTCAGGGGCTGCTATTTAACTATATATCAAACCACTTTAATTAGGCTGTGAGGCCTAAATAAACAATTTGGCACACTCACTAATACATTTATGTTAGCAACCAACGATTTATTTAATTAATAATTGACTGTAATGTCAGCAGCAGGTATTTCAAAAAATTTTATTTGCAAAAATCACATTGTTATTTGTTTCGTTTCTGCACTTCAATTGTGCAAAAAGTAAAACTAAAGATGTCTGCTCTCAGTAAGGCAGCAATGTCACAGGTCGGCTTGATAACCTCCCGGCGAACTTTGCAGGGATGTATGAGATCTGTCTTTACAACATCACATCATGAACGATCCGAGACCGCACATGATGTGAAATCGTCCAATAATGAAGGTACACGCAGAATGAGATTGTATGTTATGTTATATCGTGATAAGTTAACAGATATGATATTGATTGAATTATTGATAATGAATGATAGTTGCGACGGGACTCTCATTGGGTGTCGTCTGTCTCCTGTATTTTTACTTTTCAACCTGTGTTGTCGTTTGTTTTTGAATAGTACCACTTAGGGCTGGTGGGGGGGGGGGGGGGAGGTGGTCCCTTGAGCCAGATAATTTAGGACCGTCGTATTGTTAGTTCTGCCGCAATGAGAATAAACTGCAGATGTACAAATTATTCGGTTCTCCTTAAAACTACGGCCACTTATTATGGAGTACGGCGGAGTTCAGTCCCCTGGCCGCATTGCAATTACGGGGTGGAAAAGAGGGAACGACACAAATGACGTAATTACTGTGTGTTGGTGATAGACAGCGTGAACCGATGACGTTATTACTGTGTGTTGGCAATAGATGCACTGCTGTCATAATAGGGTTAGGGTGTGGGTTAGGGTACAGGTACTCCGTACAACTGCCGCCACTCCTAACCCTATTATGACAGCAGTGCATCTATCGCCAACACACAGTAATTACGTCATTTGTGTCGTTCCCTCTTTTCCACTCCGTAATTGCAATGCGGCCAGGGGACTGAACTCCGCCGTACTCCATAATAAGGGGCCCTAGTTTTAAGGAGAACCAATTATTCTTTATTTATTTTTTACGCCTTACCAAAAAAAAAATCCACCACTTTACAGTGATTATAAAAATAATTATTAATTTATTGATTTAAGTCACAATCAGTGGCTTATTGAGACACATACACATGATAGATGCTTTATCGCCGGAATTTTGAGAATCCCTGTCTTGCATTACAATTGTCTCAACTCTCTTAGGGCCAGAGCAATACTGTGAGTGTTGATTGAGGTTCCGATTTGCCCAGACAACACTGTCATCGTTGATCATGTGTCTCATACATATTGACTCGCATACGGCTCCATGTGGGTTTCTAATGTTCTGAATTACTATTAAAGTATTCAGGGAAGGTTACACTAACGTTTTTGTGTGTGTAGGTATAAAGGGCTTTGTTTGCATACACATGGGTACAGAATAATTTGATTCATTGCTAGCATCATTTTTCTGGCAGTGCAATTTTTCTGTTCAGCTAGCCATGGATACCAATGTTCTGAACACAAGCACATGCTGAAAAATGCGCTTTTCTGTAGCAAGATCTGAAATTGTTTCAGACAAATATTTTCTGATAATGATAATGACAAAGTTAAATTTGTCAGAAAGTGATTTGAACGGTGAATTTACACCAGCGGCAGTTGAGCAGTCAGCTGTTCATTCTCATGAGGTAAACCTTGTAGGACATATTTCTTTGGCGAAGGATGTGATAGTTACCCACATTTGCTTTCAAAGGACTGTTTCAGACAGTACCATACCCATACTATGGCTAAGCTGTATTGAAATCATTGCAGCTACAGTCTGATTCTGTATATAACTACGAAGTTATAACTACTAATTTCTGCCATTTTTTTCTTTCAAATTTTGTTCAGCATCTTTGAGAACATAGTGATAAACTAACCCAGAAAGACCTTATAACTTTTGAATTTGTTAGGAAACTGAACAAACTTTAAAGTATTATTCTCAAATTTGGATATTCACTGCTCTTGTGGCTGTAAAACCATGGTAAGGGAACTGTTTCTTATGTGTCATGTTATAATATGTTTATAAAATGTATTTTATAATATAAGTCTTTGCTGTTACTAGATGTTGTAGTTTTGAGTTGTTAACTTTTGTAGAATTTGAAGTTATAAAATAAACAAACTTGATATCAATGAGTCATAAACTGAGACGACATGCCTTTGTTAGATTTAGCCTTTCGTGAGTGGATTCTGTTATTTATCGCTCAGCACATGGGTGAAAGAGGGAAAAAAAAAGGGGGGGGGGGGTATACCTTTGTTTCCCCCCCCCCCCAACACCTGTGTTGTAATGAGTGATTAATTAGGGTTATAAACAGCATAGATAAAATATATTATGAGACCTGAATCTTTTTCCATACACAGGCAAACGCATAAACAATATGCCCACTGGTTATGAACTGCTCACCTTCCCCCCAGCAGTCAAAACAACACACTCTTTCTTATCATTTACATAAGCTGTGTGTGCACTGTTTAGAATATATGAGTGCTGATTGTCTACTTTCAAAATCTAAAGTTTCCGTATCTCTCTTACAAACTCGCAATATATCTGAAATCTCAGATTTCAATAGTTTTCATTTTTGTTAAACTTTACAGAGGGAGAGTTCAGAGTATATAAGATAGATGGGCTGGATGCAACTCACACTGAACGGAGAACAAAACGCCCGCCGAAGACGCCCGCTGTGCCTAGATTCCGTAGTATGCCCGTAGATCAAGACTGGACTGATGTGTGGCCATCTGCAGCAACCTTCAAGTGGTCTGTTGTACCCTTCCCTGTTAGGCAAGGATATGTAAAGGTACTACATTTTCTGACTCTTGTTTATAGTCTGATGTGAATATATATCTCTGTTTTATTTTTTTTTCATTCTTGGACCCTTTTCAGGCCAGTGGCGCGTCGGGCATTTGTTAGACTCATATTTTTATAGACCAGTCAGAACTTGATGTAAGCCACCTTTGCTACTCAGGACACTGCCTGGTTCCCATACTAGACTGGGTCAACATGGGAGCCAAGGTCAGTTTTGAATGGATTCTACACAATGCCAGATCGAATCAAAGTCCTTCGAGCTGGCAGAATATGCATCCTTGTTTACATATTTTTGTTTATATGGTGTTTTTATTTTTTCAAGCATAACTGCTTTGTGTACCTGTTAATACTAGAGCTAGTTTATAGGTCCTCTCAAGTGCTCCATGGTAGAACTGTTTATAGAAATACTGCTTGCCAAGCCAGTATTTCTATCATTCAGCGGTACTAGACCTATCATTCAGCATCTGTCACCAACGCAGCATGATTTACCAAGCAAAAGGCTGGAAGGTTCAATATGTTTCTTTTAGCCTTCCTTTAATAATTACTTCTTAAATGTACATTTTTGAAGGGTGAAAGTTTGTTAAGATTATCAGTGCGTTAATGATGGCGGTAAAAAGTTTATAATGAACCCTAAATATTCAGTAACTGTTGCCGATGCAGAATAGAAGGACTAAAATGTTATGATAGAATAATTTGTGGTGAGCTTATGGAAAGAGCTGAGCAAACTCTGTTGAAGTGAGAGGTACGGAATAAATACAATGATTAAAAAACACATTGAGAAAACCTGTTAACTGATATAACTATAATGCATAAACATTTTACTAAGAGCACAAGAAATTTGAATAATCAACATAGAGCAGACTTGATCAGCCATTTGACACTTGTGAAGCTACTGTGGAGATTAAAGCACTTAAAGATACAGTTCTCTGATGATAGACATCACTAATCTCTCAGTACATGCATTGGTCAGTTTTACTCTAGCTGTCTTACTTTTGGTAAAATTTTTAGCTCCAGTTTTCTGATTCTGGTTAGGCTTTTACCTTCATGGAAATTTGGTCACTAGCTCAGTTATTGACATTTTAGCCACAAGTTCCAAACAGTACACGTTTAGCTTAGTGTTTGTAATCATAAGCGGCCAGGTCGCACTTTGGCTGGCCGGTAAACGATTTGTTATCGTCAGGACAGTATTTGGGTCTGTCTATCTTGATCGCATCAACACTGCAAGAGTCCTTTTCAGGGCTAAGGCATACTATACAGCAGAAATATACCTAGTCACAATTATAACCTGAAGCTCCCCCTTTTAGGATGCTGGCTGAACGTGACAATTTTTTTTTCCACAATAAAAAACGGACGTATTTATAAAAGGTATATCCTTTATACTCTTGCATCCCCGACCCACCTCAAGTGCACAGGTTACTAGTCAAGCATTGCTTCTAGCAGTACTATAGTTTGCGCTGGTTATCAGTGAATTATTTGTACTCATGCTCTTCTTCAGATGAAAACAATTTTTATTTTGTCTCTTCGCTTTTTAGCTATTCAAATATTTGTATTGAAGTGCTGAAATGTATTTAGAACAACTTTGCATGAGTTTGTTGAGGGCCTATGCTCCACTGGGGGAGGGGGAGTAAAGGGCAGAAGAAGAAGAAATTATATTATTATTCATTTTTATGATTATTACAGAACTCTGCAGATAATAAAGGTGTTATACCTTCAAAATATGCAAATCTGGAGTTGATGAAGGGTCCAAACTTTCTCCATCTAACACCTGCACATGTTAAGAAACATTGTGCTGCTTTGAAAAGTAAGTGGCTCATTAATTTCTGTATTTGTCCAGTTTTGTTATAGACGTTTTGGCATTTGTTGATCAGGTTAGCCTTTTTGTAGTTTGATAAGCATTTATTAGATCATGACCAACTTATTCCTAGCAAAGAAATTGAAAGCACAAAGTGATCCACCTGAAGTCAAGCAGCTGATTACCTGCTGTTCAGATAGCACAGAATATGATCTTTTAGCAGTGTATACGGATCAACAGTACCTTCTTTTTTGTCCCAGGGTATGCTAGTGAGAAAGGCAATGAGGGAGCAGATGCTTTGGCTGGCAGTGCAACTATCAGGAATGGGCCCTCTGTGCACAGGAGCAACATTAATAATGCCATACGAGAGACCAAACTCTGTGAGACTTTCAGTTTCGTGGAAAATGATTTTTCACTGAATAGACTGCATACCCTGGGTGTACCAGTTGGAGCCACCTGTGGTTACATCAGCTGGGACAGAATGGGAATTGTTAGCCTAAAAACACTTGGATACTTAGGAGGCGATCGGAGCAGTTATGGTCTTGTCTGATGGGTATACTCATCAATAGTATGGAGAAAATGATAGGTAACCGGGACATCTGGCCATCACTCCACATTCAAAGGAAAGGCAAGAAGGGCTTCAATAAAGCGTGCTATGTTCATTTAACAGTATAAATATCAAGAGGGGAAAAACACAACAGCATGGATGGTAAAATGGATACATACACTCACGTGCCCACCCATTCGCACACCCCTCGCCCACTTACATACATACATACATACATACACACACACATAATTCATACATACACACACACACACACAATTCATACATACATACATACACACACATACATACACGCACACATACATACATGCACACACACATACATACATGCACACACATACATACATACATACATACATACACACATAATTCATACATATACACACACACACACACATAATTCATACATACATACACACATACATACATACACACAAAATACATACATACATGTACACACACACATAATACATACTCATGTACATATGTCTGTACATACATACTTAAATAGAAACGCCAGGCTTTGTATGTATATTATTTGTCCGCTCCAGGATTGTAGTGTGCAGGAGTAGCACCTCAAGGATGAGAATCCTACATGTAAAATCCTGAAATAAAATCCTAACCATATGGTTATACATTTTCATGAGTATTTATGCCATAACCTGAAGTCTGGACTGGGCAGGATGATAATCCTAGACTTTGCAGTTGAGGAATTTTTATGTATGAACCATGTCTGCTCATGGTTTGAGTCAATAAATTCAAACTTGTATGCCCTTTGCTTATTTAAGATAGACTGCAGCGTAACTCCAACAGTGTCTGTCTCCTCACTCTTTCTCATCTCACTCTTCTTTCTGAACAGTGTTTTTGTAGAAGTATTGAAAGTACGTCAGAACTATGGGCATGTGCACACACGCACATTCAATCACTATCCATGTCATCAAGTAAAGATATGTTTGAACAGTTAATAGAAACATAAATGGTGTTTACAAAGAAATGAATTAAGGGTTGTTTACACACATGCACATACAAAAAGTAAAATAATGAAAAGGACCCTTTTCCACACCTTCGGGCACATAGACCTGTATTTTACAGACCAGTTGGTGGATGATGTGGTCAGTGTCAGGCCAACCGCCTTTACTTCTCAGGAATTTACCTAGTACCCATTTAAGGCTGGATTGACCTGACCTGAAAGCTGCCTAAACCCAGATCCTTTGGATCTGCATGCAAGGGTTCTGCAAACATTAACCTTTAATTTGTAATGTGTATTTTAATGTTAATATGCATGGAGTAGCAGCAATTATAATAATAAGTTGCTGTATCTCTCTGCTTTGTGTAGAATTCTGCACACAGTGGCCTGAAGGTCTTGAAACAGATGAGCGGTGTCGACGCCATTTTCCTATTGAATCTGTTACAACCAGTTATGTTTTTGCTGCCCCATCAGTTCGAGATCCCAGATCAAGAATTGCAACAATAAAGGTTTGTTGTACTGCAGTGTTGTGGTTTATCAAATGTATGTATTTTCGGAATAAATAATTTATTTATTGTGTTTATGTGTGCATTCTTCATATTATTTCACATTAAACATCTTCTTCTTATTCTCTTTAACCATTTACCTCATTGAGGTTTTGGGAGGGAGGTGCACTTTTTCCACTGCATTGTACAAATTGGTGTTCATTTCTGTTAGGTGGCCCCTGATAATGTCACTCCATCTCTTGCGTGGTCTTCCCCTTGCTCTGTGTCCGTTATATTTTTTCAGCGTGGCTCTCTGTGTCAGTTGGTACTAGGGCATTCTCCTCAAGTGGCCAAACCATCTCATGTGTTGTTCTTTAATGAATGTATGACTTGTTTCAGGCCTAATCTTCTGATTTCTTTATTCTTTCATTCTTGATTTTATCTCTTCACACTGGCAGCTCTCCTTAGACATCTCATCTCTGTTGTTATGATCTTCCACTCATTAATTGTAGTAAGAGTCCATGCTTGGCACTGATAGCACAATGTTGGTCAAAAAACCATTTTTATGACATTTGCTTTGGTTGACAGAGGTTTCCTTCTATGTGTCAGAAGCGGTGATAATTGTCCCTTAACGTAATTTGCTTTTGCACATCGTATGTTTATTTCTGTATCCATTTTTTCATCTGAGGTGAAAAATTACCCTAGATACTTAAATTTTTTTTATTATGTGTTATTTATTTTAATTGATATGGTTTCTTCTTGTCTGCCAATTACCATTGCCTCTGTCTTATCAATGCTTATCCTCATCTTATATTTCTCACACTTAGTAACATTAAGAATGCATAGTGAAAATAATAATTCGAGTAAATTATTTTTTAGCACTCATTCTTTTTGTATTCTAATTTTAGTATCTCTAAATGATTCTTCACTTTTGTCTGGATTGCTACCTAAATATGTGTATTATTCCACATCATGATGTAAGGTTTCCTGCTCCCTTGATGAATGTTAATGTTGTGATTTGTCATCAAGTGTGTTTTGTCATTGCTACCTAAATAAGTGTATTTTTCCACCTCATAATATATAAGGTTTCACCAGAGGAGACTGGGTTAAAAATTGCTTGGTTAAATATGATTTTCTTAACCTTCCTCCTCCCTTGATGAATTTTTAGACTTGGAATGTTGTGACTTGCCGTCAAGATCTCCTAATTATTTCCTGCGGGATAAAGGGGCAGTGTTGTCAGCAAAGTCTAGATCCTCTTCTTCTGCATTTGCCCTTAAAAAGGTGGTTGTCACATTGTGTTACAGCTAGGCTGCGATATTTCCTCCTCTCGACAAACTGCATTTGATTTCAGCAAACCAGTAGTTAGTCATACATTGCTACATGCTTATCACAATGGCAGCAGGTCTTCTTTTTTCCTCTGAATGGGACCTCGGAACCCCCTTGGGGCAGTCCAGATCCTCTGTTCTATTAGAGCCTATTGTATTTTTTCTTGTATTATTCATTGTTTTCATAATCCTTTCTGAAGTCAAACAGAATAATAAAGGTTACAAACGGCATCCCCATCATACTCTTGTTATTTTTTCCCAGTGTATTTGTTTATCCTTCTTAAAGAACTGAGAAGGAATGTACAGTGTTTAACACCGGCAGATGTTATCAAAAGATGAAGATGGCTTGGATATGTTTGCAGAATGCCTCCTGATATCTTAACAAAGACAACTGTCATTTGAGCAATGAATGGTGGAAAAAAAAAAGATGTGGGCAGCCTAAGGAAACCTGGAGAAGGACAGCAGAAAGAGATGAAGGTATGACATACTGTAGGCAGACACACAGCCGACTGGCAGCAGTGGAGATTGCTTGTAAAACATGTGTAAAATTCTAAGCATATGACCAATTCAACACCAGCCATGAAAATTTATAATCCTGAATAATATATAGACACATACACACTCACCCACCCACAGAGAGAGAGAGAGAGAGAGAGAGAAACAGATGTACAGTCAGACATCTACTGGTGCCGTCGGATTTGGAACTGCTCGCTGGATGCTGAAAATGGAGATGGAATGCTTATGGGAGTGTCCCCAGTGCTGTGATGATTCAACATTCATCAGAATTTTATGTTAATTGTTGTCATTATCATTATTTTAATCATTCTGTCATTATCATTATTTTAATCATTCAATCATAATCATTATTTTAATCATTCTGTCATTATCATTATTTTGACTCATCGTGTCCTTGTTGTCTGTTTGAATCTTTCATAACATTGTAAATTTGTTTCTTATTATTATTAATATTTAAACATTGGTTAGCTGGCGCAGAACCTTGATTGCCTGTGTTAATAGTCACTTTAATTTTTATCTGAGAACTGTTATGTGAATGTTCTCTCCCAGTTTCATCTGTCTGACCTAGAACTGGATTACCATGCAAAAGACAAGTTTATCAGACTGGTGGGTGACAAGTACAATAAAGGCACAGATGAGGTCACATTTGAGAGTGACAGGTAAAGAGGTTTCTTTTCACTGTTTCTCTTTGAAATCGTTTCAGATAAGTTGAGGGATTAAACAGCATTACAAGCCTATAGCACAACATCAACAAATAATTACAAGTTCTAAAATATGTTTTATGTGGGAACCTGAGGCATTGCTTTTCATATCTTCTCCGAGTTCAAAACCAGACCAGGAAGGCTAACCTAGAATGTTGAATTAAAAATCGACATCACAGCACTCGGGACACTACCATAAGTGCTCAGTCCCCGTCTTCAGCAGCTAGTGAAGAGTTTCAATTTCAAAGGTGCCAGTAACCGTCTGATTGTATATCCATCTCAACCTTTTCCTGAGTGTTGAACCTCAGCCAGATCCTCTGGTAACTCCTGGCAGCGCTATTCTCCTTAGACCGCAATGATCTATCCGCACCTCCACACTGTTTACTCGCTCCCAAAGGGCCCTCACAATATCTAACTTGTTAACCTAGAAAACAAAATGCCAGAAGATATTCTTCCAAAAGATGCAAATATTATTATTTTTATTCTTTTGTTAGCTTGAAGTAGATTAACTATATCTGCAATTTTGGATCTAGTATGAACTTCACTGTTTTTTGTAGTTCACTCAGCGACCTGTAAAGTTTACCTTGCACCGGTGTTTCTCTTGGCCAAAAGTTGTGCCTTGATATGTTTGTATTTGGGACAGTCTTGGAGAATGTGATCTATAAATGTTGAGTACACATGGCTGCGAAGTCAATTTGCCTTGTACCAAGGCCTAAAATAATAACTTCCTCTGATCTGTCCATATTATGATATGTCTTGTGCCGGTTTTGGTGGCTTTCTGATTGATTTGATTATTCTCTTCAGTTTGTTTTTCATTTACACCTTCCTTGGCTAGTTTATCAGCTGTCATTTCTGAGAACTCTATAGTGGTATAGTAGGATGGTACCCATTGCATAATTACATTATACTGCTCACAAATATCACAGCTAAGCTGTAAACAGGGATTGTGTATGTGGATGAACTTTAAAGAAGTAGAAGCTAGTAGGGTGTGTGAAACTGGTACTGGAACTTCATCTGTGCAAACTAGAGAATAACCAGAATAAGATTCAGTACAGCATTTACAGTAGCTGGAAATAAGGAATACGTAGGTATTTCTCTTCAGCCAGTTTGAGGAATTTTATCTCAATGCCCAGGACTGCAGTATCTTTAACATGGAAGCCACAGACATGTGTGTTGTGATAACATAAAACTCATCTCAATGGCTATGTTACAAACTGATGTAAGGCATATTAGCGGCTGGAGCAGAATTAAACAAAGCATCTGTCAGCTAGCAAGCATGCATCTGAGATTGTCAGAAGTAGGCATTCAGGCATGAATTTTACTGCATGGGGAAAACCGCCCATAAAGGACTTTGGTATGCATCTGACCTGCCTTTGGTATGCATCTGACCTGACTTTGGTATGCATCTGACCTGACTTTGGTATGCATCTGACCTGTCCTTAAAAGATTTTTTTTTTTAAATAAAAAAGTGTTGTTCTTGAAACATGAATGCAGTTCTTGGCCGTTGTGTTTAACACAGATTTGTCACCATACACTGCTTGCATTCTGCAATGAATATTGGTTCTTGACAACCTTCACATGTAAGAGACATAGTAACTGCTTGCTGATCCATTTTGGATAGGTTCAATATGGCATTACTTCAGTATTGTCAGTAATCTTCACTAGAACCTGAGCATTTGCTGTGAACACATGCTTACTTTTACTTGTTCATTGGTCTGTTCTTATTGCGAGACTAAGACATCATCATGCAACGTTCCCTGTATGAGCTCCAAGGCCTTTTTGTGGGGAAAACAAGAATAAACCCTCTGCCTGCCCAAAAGCATGTCGTAAGAGTTAACTAATTATGCGCTTCCTTTAAGTCGGAGTACATCTGCCTGAGAGGCTAGGAACCAACAGTCTGCATGCACATGAGTCAGACCTGTAAAACAGATGTGCACACAACACTCATTTTCTGGATCCAGGCTAGAGTCCAGAAGTGGACAAACAACCAGAATTTTCCACCTGTTTATAGCCGATGAATTTATAGAACAAGATCATGCACTATGCTTACGGTCTGGCATAAAGCAGCACAGGTTCAGGGTGATCCTCATCCGCATTTTGACATTTTGTCACCGGGTGTTTATCACTTGTGTGATGTCCTGGTGGGGTAAAAAGTCAGTCAGTCATTTTATAGCATCTTGTGTTACATTTTTAGAGCCGTAATTTTCTTGTATTTATGCTTGTCCAGTGATGATTTTGTCTTTCACTTGACTTACAGCTACACAAAAACATAACATGTTTCCTTTTTTTTTAAAATACCAGGTGCCCTTTGAAATCTCAAAATATGGAGTACCTGAAATTTGTTCTTACTGCTGTTTATTTTGAGTCTTGGGTGAGTGATTTGTTTTTGCTTGTTTCCTGACATTACAAAGAGAATAGCTTTTTTTTTTTTTACATCATCCTCAATCAGCAAGTCCTTTACAGAACGTCGCTCTCTTCAAGTCACGCCTGGAAGTATCCCTTTCCCTAGCCAGTTCTCCGGCCCCATGTGCTTTAAATGCCAATGCATCTTCAATGTCTTGTATCCATCTTCGCGGCGGTCAACTTCTGCCTCGCCTTCCACAAACTGCACCTGCCATCACCATGTTTTCCATGCCACCATGATTTTTAGCATACAGATGTTTATTCATAGAAAATTATCTGTAATTGCATGCTCTGTTGGAAGATACAGCAAAGCACTTGCTATATGTTTTATTTTTTATTTTATAAATATAATTTTTGCTTCTCTTTCTCTAAGTTTGTATTTCTGAAATCATATTGAGAGGATGAGTTGTAGTTTCTATATTGCTACATACAAAAAATGTAATCTGAAAGAAATTAACTAACCCTGGCTCCCAGTTTGACTGAGCCCTAAATGGGTATTAGGTGAAGTCCTGGGAAGGAAGGGCAGCCAGCGTGCTGCTGACCACATCACCCACTGAATGCAGCTTGGTCTATAAAGTATAGGTCTAGCCCTAAATGCCAATACACCTGAAGGCCTGGAAAAGAGCCCTTTACTGTTTGTAAACTCCCACGAAGGCAAACCCAGTCAACTAATGCCTGCAGAAGTCGATTTTGTCGGCCTCCCGGGAAGGCAAACCCAGTCAACTAATGCCTGCAGAAGTCGATTTTGTCGGCCTCCCAGGAAGGCAAACCCAGTCAACTAATGCCTGCAGAAGCCGATTTTGTCGGCCTCCCGGGAAGGCAAACCCAGTCAACTAATGCCTGCAGATGTCGATTTTGTCGGCCTCCCGGGAAGGCAAACCCAGTCAACTAATGCCTGCAGAATTCGATTGTGTCGGCCTCCCGGGAAGGCAAACTCAGTCAACTAATGCCTGCAGAAGTCAATTGTGTCAGCCTCCCGGGAAGGCAAACTCGGTCAACTAATGCCTGCAGAAGTCCATTGTGTCGGCCTCCCGGGAAGGCAAACCCAGTAAACTAAAGCCTGCAGAAGTCAATGTGTCAGCCTCCTGGGAAGGCAAACCCAGTCAACTAAACCTGCAGAAGTCGATTGTGTCGTCCGAAAGGTGCAAAAGTCAGAGCCATGCTGTAAACGGGCACAATGCAGTTACATCTTCGGATGAATGTAGAAGAGGAAGAAGAAGTTTGTAAACTAGAATTTGTGTTTTCCGTTACCAGTGTATTCTCCAAATTACCCCGTAGCACATCTAAAGGAGATGAACGAACGAACAAACTTTATTTTCAAAGGGTTAAGAATTGGGCACACAGGCCCGTTAGAGTCACCAACTGGAAGGAGAAGGCTAGTCACAGTTATAAATGGATGTGGGTTTTGTCTGCAGAATGAACCTCAAGGAATACTGAAAAATAAAGCATAAACAAGATCAGTTTTATAAATATGACAGCTGTGTGTTAATTCCGACAATGGTTTTGAGCGCCGATGGCTCAGAAAGAAATGGCAAACTACTAAATGTAAAATTGTCTAATACAGCCAAACAGTGGTGATGCGGTTGGTTCTTCAATGTCATGTAAAGGATTTGCCACAAACTTTTATATTTGATTTTCTTTTTGTTTTCTATAGAAAAAGGAAAGCTGGGAGGACTTGAAAACACTTGATGACATGGAGAAGTATATCTGGGACCTCAATGTATCCAAGAAAAATTGTCTGTCGATTCTCAAACAGATCAAGGCAGTAGATGATGTAAGTAAAAAAAATGTCTTTCCTGCTTCTTTTCTTGAGCAGAAGATTTCAGCTGTCTCCATACAACCAAGGTATATTTTGTTACCTTTTAGTAAAATTCTGACTATTGTGATAGCAGGTGATGAAATCAAATTGTTACAACAAAGGTAAATGCCTCTGAAGAGTATCGAATGTGATAAAAAAGAGACATGGTTCAACATTATAACATTAGGAAGCAAGTTAAAGTCGAGAGAATCAACCTCATTGCATGGGTTTTATCCCATATGGCTCAGTCTCTCCCCAGCAGAACAGCTAGTGGTCTAAGGAGTCCGTCGCATTAAGCACGAACTCTGCAGCTCTGACGATATTCCTCAGGGTTCTCTTGGGGGGATGAACCCACAACCTTCAGAACACGAGGCAAGCTGCTTAACCACTTTGCCCCAGAGCAGGTGATTTTGTTTTGTCACCGAAGTGTTTTACTGAGAATACTGGATCTCTTGTGATGAAAAGAGAGGATTTGGAGAACACTGTGATGACTAGGAAAGTCAGCAGTAGAAGAGGCAGACTGGGAAATTATACTGATCGATCTAAAGATGTCTATTTTAATTTAACTTCTTTTTTTTCTTCTTCTTTCTTTCACTTGAAACAGATTATCTATATCTACAATGTTGTCTCTAGTATGAACTTCAATGTCTGTTGTAGTTCAATCAGCGACCTGTAAAGTTTGGCTTGCTCTGGTGTTGCACCAGTTAATTTAACTTATACTCCATTAAAATATAGCTTATTTGTATTTGTTATGTTTTTATGTTTATTCGAGGTATGAACATCATGGCACACGGGTGTAACCCATGGGTGCTCTGTTCTAATTCTAACTCAAGCCTGAGTCTGAAAACTCTCAGCACTGTGCGGCAAAGATCCTGAAATACTTTGGGTAGTTTTTAAACTCCAAATTAGGCTACTCTTTTCGATTTCCAACTGCCAAGAGCTTCTTTACGTGCACAACAATACACATGGGCATCCAATCTTACTATTCAGAAAGCAGGGAGTAGTACTAGAAGTCCACGTGAAAAAAAATCCCAGCCTTCGCCAGAGCTTAAACTCAGGACCTCCAGCACTCAAGGCAGACACCATACCTCGAGACCACTCAGTCCCCTGCATTTGTTAATAGATACTCAATTGTTATTGCATATTATTTCTGTTTACTTCTAATATTTAGGCAATCCTAGAACAGGGTACAGTAAACTTCGCTGCCACATGTATTTAACATTTATGATTGGTGAATCAGCGATGATGACTGGCACCTCAGACAACAAACCACATCCTCCAAGACTGTCCCAAATTCAACATTTCCAGACGAAACATCTGGCCAAGAGAGACACTGGTGGAAGCCAAATTTTATGGGCCACTAAGTGAATTACAAAAGACAGTGAAGTGAGACTACAGACAGCATTGTAGATATAGATAGTTTATTTCAAGTGAATGAAAGAAGAACTATTTTAACAAGACACATTCTACCATTGCTTAAAGAGTAGTCCTTGGTGAAGGCAAGACTTGGGTGCTGATTGTACACCTTCATCACAGGCAATGGCTGTAACTCTCATGCACTCTTGTGCAGAGTTAGACCTTCATATCAGAAACGTTGTCTGACCTTTCCTTCATATTCTGATAAAAGTCTGTCCCATGAAAGATGAAGTCTTGGCCAGTATGAATAATCCATGCAATAAATCTGCTTCTCTGCACCCTATGTTGCAGTAATAATACAGGGTGTCCCAAAAGTTTTATTTTTTAAACATGTTTTGATGTGTGTCCTGCACTGCTGAAGAACACGTGCAAGCACAGCTGGAGTCATGCTTTTAATGGCTTTGGTAATATGTTTATTTTTTCCTGTGTATGGAAGCTTATGCGGCACCCTGTAGTTTTTTTCGGTTTTTTTTTTTCAAATTTCATTGTTTTGGTCGAGGTTTCAACTTCACTGCCATCGGGTATCCCCATGCTTGCTCCGTTCCTGTGCCAGTGCAAATCAAATGAAACATCCCTCACTGTCCCATTTAAAAAATTGGGGAACAAACAGTTCTACTATTCCAGGTGGTGCAAACGATCGTTTGCTTCCATTATCATCTATTTAAATTCTTTCCTTACAGTAAAATTAAACTTTTCTTGGTCTTGACTTTCTAGGTCTCAAGTTCGGATGAGAGATGGCTGAATTATCTGTCTGTTGATGTCTCAGATGAGGAAGCTGTTTGCAGTCTGCCAGAGGTTGCTGATTACAAGAAATCAGTGGAGGAATTATTCTGTGAGGATGAGAATATACAGACTATAAACAATTACAAAAATTCTGTGAAAAAATTGCTAAACATCCAGGGTGAGGTGTCATAGGGTGTTTGATTAATAAGTGTTAGAAAGCATTGCTATGGACACACACACATTTATTTGACACATTATGGGGAAATCACATGTAGTACAAAATAAAATAATTGTGCAAATGACTTTTTTAAAGATGTTAAGAGAATTTAACAAGTTGATGGTGGCCAAGCAGCTAGCATACTGATCTTACACAGCAATCGCTCTTAGTTTCAATCAGTCTTCAGGACAGGCAGGTTTGTTTTGTTTATCTCACTGGGGTGAAAAGTCACATTTGAAGTGCATTCGCAACACCTAAGCTTCAGACACTGACCATCCAGCATACAACAGCAGAAGTAAAGTAAAAGACTACTTTAGGTTTTCCCCACCTACAAGCGTATTGAGCATATAAAGCTGGACCTGTATTTTATAGACCAAATCGGCACTCTGTGGGTGATGTGGTCCTCATCATACTGGCTGCCTTTACTTTCCAAGACTTGACCTGGTGTCACATTTCATTTTTTTTTTAAAGGCTGGCTCCGTCATGGCCCGAACGCATGACCTTCGGATACGCAGGCGTGCATCTAGCCAGCCATACATCACGGCATCTTCCAACAGCAGAAGTAGCAAATAATTTCATTAACCAAAGGACTACCAAGCTTGTTAAGCCTTCCATTTCCCCAGATACCACATATTTTAGTGTCTACTAAAAATGTCATAGTTTCACACCTGTTTGAAGTAAACACATAATGTTTTGTATTTTTGCACTACATTGAATAAAGAACAAATTTCAAGAATCCAAACTGCATAATTATGTTTGACATCATCATCGTGTGGCAGTATATTGGTGCAAAAAAATACAACAGAAAATGTGTTTTTCAAACTGCGATATAGACTGACTAAAATGCCATAGCGTCACAACTCACAATATTTACATTTTTATACCTAATTGAATAAATAGAGAACAAATTTCAAGAATAAAAATAAATTGTGTATTCTAGTTTAACATCATCATCATCTGATCATATGGCTGTACATTGCAACCAAAAAATCTTCTGAAGCCAGGAATTTTTTTTTTTCTGGTTGCTAAAGTAATCCTTTGTAAGAACTCTGCCTAACTGTGAAATAGAATTGTGCAAATTCAGTGGCTGTTCGCCATTTTTCAACAAGAATTTCTGTTACAGAATGACTGAACTGTCAAACTCAAAAATCCACAAAAATTATCTTTACCCGAAAATTGCATCACGGGAATGGCACCCCGGGAAACATCGAGGATTGTGTTCTGAAACAATTTTCACTAAACTCTAAACCACAGAACACTGCAATGTACACAGTCTATGCTAACATTGGCGTCTAATATACACTTAAAGCACATACTGAAACAATTCTCATAAATAATGAAACATAACATACCTAACTACCTCGGACTGCCACGCCACTGCTGTAGGCTAAAGGTCGTCTTCAGTTTCGACAATGTTTTTAATGGCATCTTATAAGAATGATCAAAGTCCAGTCATCAGACTGTTCAGAAATATCTTCACCTTTACTTTCCAATTGTAAATTATCCAGACAATATCACACTGCATCAGAAATATTCTCCAAACTCTTCCACCATGTCAGCCCTAACGTTCAGCAACAATTATGAAAGCACGCACCTAAAACGTAGTTGACATGAGAGCTCACACACACACAAACATTTTTGTGGAACATTTACTTTGAGCACTACCGAATTGTGTCCCTCAAATAAATAAAAAGAAATGAAGGCACTAACAGCTTCAACTACATTTATCGCAAAAGTTGCAATTTTAACCATGCCGTAAGCTTCTAAAGTAACGATTACAAGGGGTGCGATCTTAGTAGCCAGCCGTTAAAGTCAATGTGGTTGTCAGTGGGTTAAATATAATTATGTAGCACATAAGAACTTCATTTGCTGAAATGACTTTTGTATGAAATTAATAAACAAGTATAATGGTTTCATGTAAAGTCTTTTTTTCCTTGTGTGTATGTTTATAATGTTTGTGAATAGGTGGGTTTTCTTGTCCTTTTGATTACTGTTGAATCCTTCAGCTGTAACTTGCCATTTTCTGCCTTTCTCCTTTGTGTGTGTAAAAATCTATTTGATGGAGTTGTTGGTAAACAGTAATTGGTTATGAAGGTCAAGAGGAATTTTTAAAAATAGTAAACTTAAAACTTTTAATTGTAATGTCAAAGCAATACTTTTGTATGGGGCGGAGAACAACTAAGGCAATTACTAATAAACTACCATCTATCTGTATCCTCTTCATGTCGCTGTTGACACATATAAGGCATTCACAAGTGATCTCCATTGCTGCCGGTCTGCTGCTTTGTTGCCCATGGTATCCCATGTCAGTTTACATTCCTTAATTTCCCGTTCTCTTGTCCTTCTCCAGGTTTCTTTAGGTCATCCATGTCTCCTTTTCACATCTGCTGTCCACCAGAGTGTCACAAGACATTCTGCAAACATGTTCAAGCCATCTCCATCGTCATACTTTGATAACATTTGCCAGTGTTGCACATTCTGGTTTCCTCCTCAGTTCTTTATTTGTGATCTTGTTTGGCCAAAATATATAGAATTCTCCTCAAACATTTATTTTGAAAAGTCTCAAGTTTATGTGTAATTCCTGCGGTCATTCTCCAACATTCACTGTTGTATAATAGTATTCCTAAAATGTTGCTCTTGTATATTCCAAGTTTTGTCTTCAAACTAAAACTCTTTGACTTTCATATATTGTTAAGCAAGGCAAATGTTTGATTTGCTTTGTTTATTCTTGATGTTACATGCTTTTCCAAAATTACATCTGGAGTAACTTTACTTTCGACGTATATAAATTCTTCAACTTCCTCTGTTGCTTCATCATTTAAGATAATTGGATTTTCTGTTTTGTAATTATTTCTCATTACTTTAGTCATGAGCAGGACGTGACGATTCCTTGAGTGAGCCCAGTACCAGAGCACCATGTATTAGCTCTGCATTTGTGGATGCCTCCTTGGATGGCGGGGAATGCTCATGTTCTGCTCCTGCCTACTCTTGAGGGCTGATCAGCATTATGTGGCTTCTCTGGACCAGCCTGATTGGAGCACCACCTGTGACCTGGGAAATAAAGATGACCACACAACAATGAGACTGCCATGTCCTAACCGGGAAGGCTAACCCGGTCAACAAATGCCCGCTGAAGTCGCATGTGTTGGCCGAAAGGTGCAAATATCGCAGCCATACTGTAAACGGACACAACGCAATTACATCTTCGGATGAACGCAGAAGAAGAAGAAGAAACTTAGAAAAATTAAACATTGATGGGAAAGATCTACGAATAATAAAGAATATGTATTAGCAGCAAACAGCAGCTATAAGAATTAACAACTGTTTAGGTACATTTCAAAGCATAAAGAGGGGCGTACGACAAGAATGAATACTGTCACCTGATTTGTTTTCAATATACAGTGAATATATAATGAGAGCTTTAATTGGTATGCCAGGAATTGTGGTTGGTGGACACAATATAAACAATTTCCGTTATGCTGATGGCACAGTCTTGATAGCAACAAGTCAGAAAGAACTACAGGAAATGATAGACATTGTGGTGTTAGAAAGTGGAAGAATGGGCCTCAGTTTGAATAATGGAAGGACAGAAGTAATGGTGGTATCAAAGAAACAAATTATTCCTAAGTGTGTAATAAAAGTTGATGGTGTTATTTTAAGACAAGTACAGAAATTTAAGTATTTGGGCACATGGATAACATCAGATGGAAGATGCATAACTGAAATAAGAAACAGAATTGGACAGGCAAAAACTGCATTTTATAAAATGAAAAACATCTTGTGCAATATATCCTTGTCATTGAGAGTTAGAAAAAGAATTCTTGCTTGCTACATACATCCAGTTTTAACATATGGCTGTGAATCCTGGACAATCGGTAGGCAGGCCAAACAATTTCTGGAGGCCTCGTAGATGTGGTTTTACAGAAGAATGCTTAGAATACCTTGGACAGCCAAAAAGAGCAACCAAGAGGTTTTGAAAGAGGCGGGAGCCCGAAGACAACTTATCACAGACATCAGAAGGAGACAGTCATCATTTTTCGGCCATGTTATGAGAAGAGGGAAAATAGAACATGTTGTGACCACTGGAAAGATATGTGGAAGGAGATATAGAGGAAGACAACGAGAGAAGATGCTTAACAGTCTTGTTGCATGGCATGGAGGTGTGTCGGCACATGAACTGATACATGATGCAGGAGATCGCAGATTATGGAGAGGCATGATCGCCCACGCCAGTCGGCAAGGCACCTGATGATGATGAAATGTGATGCCTGAGAAAAGCCACCAGCTAAAATTCGTGTCCGAATTGTCTGCCAGTGTCCCTCTGCCATCTGCCAACAAAGTCTAACGTGTGTCCGGTAAACCAACCGTAAGCTTGCCAATTGGTCGTCCAGGTATGTAGACTGCTTTAATTATGCTACCGCAGCGACTATGTAAATACAGTATCTCACTGTACCGTTTGCAGAGTCACCAATTTCGTCTTGTCCCTGTCCGAGAACATACGGTAATACGTGCAGCAGGAGAAAATCAACCCTGAGCATATGAACTCAGGTGGGCCCACGCTCTCAAATGTCTAGGAGCTCGTGGGCCGAACATTTGTCGACGAGAGATTACGGCTCTCTTTTGAATCATTCCCCAAAATGGCGGCATGCCACATTCTGGCCATAAAATTTCCGAACGACGGTGTTCGCGTATATCTAAAATACGGACTTTCTGCCAAGGAACAAATTGCGGCAAAACTAGGATTACTTGACAATCAATATCAACAATTGCACACGGTAGTAGTAGCAGACGATAAATACCGACCGTTGACAACAATTTCGAGCGTTTCTGCAGACGATATTAGCGACCGTTGACCAATTTCGAGACATTACAGACGATGAAAGCCGATTAGCAAAACTGTGTTCTTCCGATTGGAGGATTAAACTCATCGCCGAGAGTATCCCCCACGCCGCGACGCGCGGCGCGGATGGGGGCTAAACTAGGTGCGGATGGGGGCTAAACTAGGTGCGGATGGGGGCTAAACTAGGTGCGGATGGGGGCTAAACTAGGTGCGGATGGGGGCTAAACTAGGTGCGGATGGGGGCTAAACTAGGTGCCTGGGACTCACGAGTACCGTAATTGGAGGAAGTTGCAGGAGATGCGGTAGCTGCCGCTCGTGAGTCCCAGCCATCTAGTTTAGCCCCCATCCGCGCGTAGCGGCGCGGGGGATACGCTCGCAAAAGCAGGTCGGCAAGCACCGTATCGCCGAGACCCTGTCAGAGCATTTGTTTCGTTATCCGGAGCCGGCACATATATTTTTAATAGAACTGACCCGCATTCGGATATTTTATGGCCAGAAATTGGCCAATTTAGTTCTCTTTCGAACGCCATTAAATTAAAGCCGCCATTTTGGGGAACGATTCAAAGGAGAGCCGAGATTACTTCTAGTGATGATTGGTAGACTCCTGCTGTACATGCTCCCCTGTGGAGTTTCTTCTTATTCTTACTGGTATTTGCGCCGTCTCTGGGCTTAGTCCATCTTCCCTCAAAGACAGACCGCTCGATCCTTTTCCTGTTAAAATCTGTGTTCTTCCTGCCCTTGCAGTTCTGATGTTTTCCTGGTCGAAATTGCTTTGTGGTATGGTGCAATGCATTAAGCGAACAGAAGAGTTGTAAACTGCATTACATTGATTGGGCAAAGAGGGTAGTAAGTTGCATTTCATTAGTTGACAGGGGGTGTGGTAAGTTACATTAAACGAAGGCAATGACAATAAGTTATGTGACCTTAGATGTAGAAAGGAATGGCAAGTTATGCGAAATTAAGCGTAGAAAGGAACGTCAAGTTACATGACGCTGGATGTACCAAGAATGGTCAAGTTTCAGGTTACAGGACATCTGAAGTGCGAAGATGTGGTTAAGTTATATGATATTGATTGTACCCACGCGTGGTAAGTTAAGTGACACTGGGTGGTACACAGGTATGGTTAATTGTATGACACTGGATACACGAAGGAGTAGTAAATATACATATGTGTGTGTGTGTGTGTGTGTGTGTATATATATATATATATATATATATATATATATATATATATATATACATATATATATATATATATATATATATATATATAAAGGTGTGGGTTGGTTAAATGACATTGGACGTACGAAAGAGTGGTAAGTTACAGATAACAAGACAATGGAATTTACGCAGATGAGGTAAGTTGTATCACAGTGTATGCACAAGGTTACATTTGATGAATGAAGGAGTGATTAAGTTACATGTTACATGACATTTCGGTGAAGGAAGGAGGGGTAAGTATCATGATCTGTAAAACTGATGCACACGCAACACTCAGGTTCTGGAGCAGGACTACAGTTCAGTAGTGGACGAGCAACCAGAACTTTCCGCTAGAGTGTACAGCTGGTGAACGCGAAGAAGAAGAAGAAGTATCATGATATTCGATGTACCTGAGTAACATGATATTCGATGTACCTGAGTAACATGATATTCGATGTACCTGAGTAACATGATATTCGATGTACCCAGGAGTGATAAGTTACATGACTTCGATGCATGAAGGAGAGTTCAGTTGCACGACATTGGGTGGTATGCAGATGTGGTTAATTAGGGAACATTAGGTGAACATATAAGTGGTAAGTTACGTATAAGTTGATGTACGAAGGAATGGTAAATATTACGTAAGACTGTATTATGATAGAGTGGTGAGCTTGATGTCTTTAATTAAATGGATTAAAGTAAAAAAGTAAAGGACCTTTTCACGCCTTTAGACGTAGGGTATATAGGGCTAGATTTCTATTTTATAGACTAATCGGCACAAGATGGGTGTGATGTGGTCAGCATCACCCAACCGCCTTTACTTCCCGGGACTGCACCCAGTACCCATTCAAGGCTGGATCGACCTGGGAGACAAGGTCTTTTTTTTTTTAAAGTGCGGCCCCGCCAGGGAGCGAACCCACGACCTTCCGATCCGCACGTGCGCGTCTAGCCGCTCCGCCACGGCGACTTCCATTTGAATGGAGAGGTGATATAAATATCCACTCATGCCAAAGTACCGGGCTTTGTAAGTCCAATAGTTACCAGTTTTAGATTCGGGAGAACATATCGATGCTCTGTTATTTACAATACGTGCTGGACGCTACCACATGCAAACACACTGGGACCTACCAGAGTTTTCTCACCGCTAGAGTAAACCCACATCTGTATTCAGTGCGTATTTATTGGCGAGCCAGTAGGTTCTATCGACGCAAGGATGCGTTCTGACGCACACTGGTTTTATGTATAAGTGGCCAGGTATTAAGTTCACTTGTCTTGATCACTAAAACGCCCAACATGCACGCAGGGGCTCTGTGTGTATTTTTGATGATTCCCGTGGCAGCGGCGTACAACGAGGTGAGTTAACGTTTTTAGTTTTTATTTTATCATTATCATGTAGCACAGATGGTCTTTAACCTTTTTCACGTGGCACCCCTCCCCCCTCCCCCACCCTTCCTCAGGTCCCTACCCTCATTGAGTATATGACAAGACATCTCACGACTCCCCAACCTAGACATTACAGAATGTGACTAAAAATAGGAGTACAAGAAGAAAAACCGCAAGCATGTTAACAAGAAATGAAGAAAAACATACATATAAACCAAAGTGTCAACAACAACAACAAAAAAACACACACACACACACATGCGCGCGTGCGCACACACACACATATTTTACCTACAACTGGCAATTTAGTGTCCATATAGTGCATGGCGTGACACTGTGAGCTGCGTTTGTTTTTCGTTGACAGAGGAGCGGAGCAACTGTGGGGTGACCCGTTTGCTATGAAGCCGAAACTAATATTACCAGATTACCAGTGTCCAGATATCAGAATGGTGACAGACACTGATTTGTCTTGAAGATGTCTGCTATTTTTGCTCTGATGTTGGCAACGCACAACTGAGATCTGGTAATCTGGTAATCCTAGTTTCAGCTTCATAGCACACGGTTCACCCCATAGTTGCTCCGCTCCTGTGCCAACGAAAAATACACGTAGCTCACAGTGTCACGCCATGCACTCAACACACAACTGAGATCACTCTCCACATCAAGCTAGCAGCGCTGTTTTGTATCCACGAATGTTTCAGTTGAAAATCCCAATTATTACAAGTACAAATGCGTTCAATCTGAATATTTCTTGACGCCTCCCCCCCCCCCCCTCCTCCCCCTCCACTTCAGAAATTTATTTCACGCCCCCTTAGAGGGGTGCGCCTCTTCACCCTCCAGGTTGGAGACCACTGATATAGCAGACCCTTTGAAGACCGTTTCACCTAGCACACGTTGAAAGTTTGAACAACGGATCAACATCATGGATAACGGGTAGTAAAACATAACTACTCTGTTATTCTTCTAACTCAAGTCTGACTCCGAAGAAGCTCAGCACAGTGCACATGCTCTTTAGCACCGGCGGGGATCCTGGAATATTTGGTAGATTTTAAACTCGTCTGGCTATTCTTTTCGATTTGCGACTGCCAAGGGATTTTCTACGTACGCAACAATGCACACGGGCGTCCGATCTCACTACTCACAGAGACCAGGGGGAATTACTGGAAGTCTAAGTCCACTTGAAAAAATAATTCCAAAAAATTCCAATCTTTACAAGGGATTGAATCCGGAACCTCTAGCACACGAGGCAGACACCATGCCTCGAGACCACGCAGCCTCTCCGCCTGAAAGACACTTAGTCCCTGACGTGCTCTCCAGCCTCATGCATTTTATTTCCTTCCCCCTAGTGTGGGGTCCTGTTCCCCATTGTGGGGAAAACAAGAATAGACCCACTGCCTTCACCAACAAGCATGTCGTATGAGTCGACTAATTGGGGACTTCCTTAAAGTCGGAGTGCATCTTCCCAAGCGGCATGAAGCAACCAACTGCACACAAATAAGCCATTAAAACGAATGTACACGTAAAAACTCAGGCACTGGCCCAAAGGCAAATTCCAGATGGACGCACAACCAGGACTTTTCGCCAGAGCTTACAACAGGTGAAAAAAGAAAAAGAAGAAGAAGAAGACTTTCTTTCAGTTTTCCACCCTACGGTAGGCTACCTGAAGGTTTGGCCACCGCGTGATTACAAAATCTCAAGCTGGCTGACAAGCCAATAGGGTAGTCCAAGATACTCCGTTCAACCTCTAATCTGTTTTACTGCCCAAGCCCCTGTAACAGCTAGACCAGCCTGGTGCACCTTCTGTCTTGTGCGGGTAATGATGTAATGGATATACCCTTTACTGCCTAGGGTGTCTCTTGTATCCTATGTACAGATTTGTACTGGTCGGCTCCAGCACATATACCTTTGTTTTAGTTTGTCAGGGTTACATTCTAGCAAACACACACAAGTAGGCGTACAAAGTCAAACAAAGCAGTCGAAACTGAAGGTAAATTCGAGACAATAGTACAGTCTGAGAGTCGCTGTGGCAGAGCGGCTAGACGCTCGCGTGCGGATCGGAAGGTCATGGGTTCGCTCCCTGGAGGAGCCGGACTTTTTTTCAAAAAATGACCTTGACTCCCAGGTCGGCCCAGCCTTAAATGGGTACCGGGTGTATTTCCGGGAAGTAAAGGCGACCGGCTAGATGCTGACCACATAACCCATGTTGTGCAGTTTGGTCTATAAAAATATAGGTCTAGCCCTATATGCCCTATACGCATAAAGGCGTGGAAAAAAAGTTCTTTACTTCTTTTTTTTTTAAATAGTACAGTGTAAATTTATATTTAGAAACTATTTCGGAGCTTTCTCACAAGCTAACGGACTCGAAGCTGACAGGTTCAAAGTCGGTGGATTTCAATGGCAGTTAAAATGGTCATGAACTGAAACAGTAACATCGTCAATCTATTAAAAGAAAATATTAAAAGGGTGGGTACTGGGTACCATTAAGCACAGCAAGAAAAACAAGCCATGGTTCTCATAGCTCTGCTATAACACCTACACATTTTTAGAATCTGCCTTTTCATCATTATAATTTCGGCTCCAAATGCATACTGACAATTTCAAGACAAGAATAATCTAATTTAGTTCACTTGTACATCTGAGCAGACGATCAAATCTTGGTCGTGTCCACAATCTCCTGCGGGGTGTCTGTCCACGTTATCGGACCTGGACAGCAAGGACGATTGCCAGACCACCAGCGAATGTCCAGTAGGGGCACAATGTTGCTACCGAGGTTGCTTCAGGAAATGTGAATTTCCCGATCCGTGTGAACAAGTGGTAAGTACTGAATGATTCGTTAATTTACATCTTAGAAAACGGGAATCCGGTATTATTATTGTTGTTGTTGTCATTTTTGTATTATTATGCTCATCCTCTTCCGCTCCCTGGTCGACCCAGCCTTGAGTGGGTACCGGGTGCAGTCCCGGGAAGTAAAGGCGACCGGCGTGATGCTGACCACATCACCCATCTTGTGCCGTTTAGTCTATAAAAATAGAGATCTAGCCCTATATGCCCTATACGCCTAAAGGCGCAGAAAAGGGTCCTTTACTTTTACTTTTACATCCTCGTCCTCATCCTATCCTTTTACTCCTCCTACTCCTCCACTTCTTCTGCTTCTTCTTCTTCTGCTTCTTCTTATTCTTCTTCCACCTCCTATTCCTACTCCTATTCCCTTTCCTGCTAGTTCTCCTTCTGCACCACTGCCACCTCTTGTTCTTCTTCTTCCACCACAACCTTCTGCTCCTATTCCTTCTCGTGTTCCTTCTTCACGACTACCAACACTTCTTCTTCGTCATCATCTTCTTCTTCCTCCTCCTCTTTTTCTTCTTCTTCTTCTTCTTCTTCTTCTTCTTCTTCTTCTTCTTCTTCTTCTTCTTCTTCTTCTTCTCCTTCTCCTTCTCCTTCTTCTTCTTCTTCTTCTTCTTCTTCTTCTTCTTCTTCTTCTTCTTCTTCTTCTTCTTCTTGTTCTTCTTTTTCTCCTTCTTCTTCTTCTGCTTGCTGAAGGTGTTTTATTTTTATTTTTGATTAGTGCTATTCCATATTGGAGCAAAAACTGTCAACCAAATTACCACCGTTCGTTCTGCTTCCGTTTATACAAACCAAATCAAAAACAAAGTAAAATTGATTCATGCGGGTTAAATGGGTTAACGAGTTTTTGCTCTAGATGCGTTTGCAAAGAAGGGTGATTCTTTGAGTCACCGGATGTTAATTTTTCCAGTAGAAATCCCTGTAGATTTTGTTTTTAAAATGCTCTGTCCATCTCTTTCAGAAGCTGACGTGGAGCAGCGGCCAGGCACTCGCCTGCGGCACTGAAGGTCGTGGGTTAAAATCCGGAAGGATTCGGACTTTTTTCAAGTCTCAAGTATCCCAGGTCGAACCAGCCATAAATAAGTACAAAGTTGTGTAATGAAAGTAAAGGCGGCTGGCGTGAGGTTGACCACATCATACGCGGTGTTCCATTTCATCTAGGTCTGGCACTTTATGCCTTAAATGGGTACAAGCTAAAGCCCTGGGAAATGAAGGCAGCTGGCATTATGTTGTTCACATCATCCAACGAGTGCCGATTGGTCGATAAAATATAGGTGTCAAGAACTGTGTGGCTATGGGACGACAGTAGATTATGATAGTAAATGGCGGACTAGCACTTAGTTGATCGCTTTGGGACTAAGCATTCAACAGCCCACGGGAATTTCCGACCAGAACATCGCGAGGGACTCGCGAACTCTCCAGGATTCATGAAGATTTGACTGACCCGATCGTGAACAGGACAGGTGGGGGGGGGGGGGGGGGGGGGGGGGGGGGGGGGCGAACAAAGAAAAGAATTGTAGTGTTTTGACGGATAGGTTTTTCGTAATTGATTTAAGTTAGCGTCTGTTAGATTGTGATAACGTGCTAGCTTGACGGTATTATAATCTAATGTTATTTAGGCATTTTAAAGTCGGTTTTCTAGAGAGATAGTCCACTGAGTTGAGTCCAGAATACTGATGGTACCAGGCACAATCTGGTTATATGTCAGTCTGGCCTTTCCTCAGTGTAGTGAGTCGGCCAGGCCCTCTGGTTTCACCCAGATGCCTTGTTCTCTCCAGGTCATAATAATTCCTAATCCCTTTGCTTGTTCCCTTGTTCCCTTGAACACACCTCCTTGTCATGTATCAATTCACCATCCAGTAGTGCAGATCCGGCCAATCTGTCCGCCTGATAGTCCATTGTTTTTAGTTATAGTTGTCTTCACTCAGGTACCTGGACAACACCAGACCCCACCATTATCCATTATTACCTGCCTAAAGCAAATAACTGCTAGTCCTTCTTAGGATAAGCTGATCCCCCTCCTTGGACACACCAAAGGGCAATCAAGCCCACCCAAAATCGATTAGACGGCGAAGCAGCCAATCCAACGATTCGGAGCGCAGCAGAAGACCAGCCAGTTACGAAAACAACAAACACCGAGCGACAGAACACTGAAGGCACAATCCAAAACCAGATGAGATGAGGACCAGAAGAAATGTCACCACAAATATAGCGGAGAGTGAAGAGAGCAGCAATGTTGTCTGACCTAGCTGAAAGTGGGCAACGTTAAATCAAGAAGAAGAACGTACTTGGCTGTGTCTTCGCGAGGCGATTTGTTAAATGGGTATGTCAGTAAGGAAGAAGACGACAATGAATCCGTGGGCATGGAACTAGGCGATTCGGTGCATTGGTCTGTCTGATCGCAATATCCAGAGCCTTGCAGTAGCACAGCAGTCACATCCTAAGATGCAGGGCGTAGGAAAGAGACGTTTACTACTAGACTTTACAGAATTCCACTACTAGACTTTATACTCAGTCTAGGACGTGTACAAACAAACTAGACTTAACTCGACGTGAGACTTCAAATATATACTTTATACTAAAATTGAGACTTTCACTAAAACACTTTATATAAAAATTCAAACAAATACTACTAGACTTTATACACACACACACAAATTCCAGTGAATGAATTTATACTTGACTTGAAGCAAGTGGTCGCTAATGAACTCAAGATAACCAAATTTATTTGTTCTCTAGGTTCTTTCGTAATATCCCACCCAAGATGACGTCACATGACAGCCCAACATTTTAGAGGATGGTAAGACTGAGTTTCCCGGCTTTCTGATGCGTTTAACTACCCCAAAATATTTAGAACTGGCCCTAACCCCAACCCACCTGTCCCACGAGGGAGTGCAGCCTAGGTCTCACGACTGCATGCAGTCTAGATCCCACGACTGCATGCAGCCTATCTACCACCCCCTGAAATATTAGGCTGTTCCGTGACCTGTGGATTTCTCCTGTTTGGGGTAGGAATTTAAGAAAGCACCCATCTCTGTTCTGTGAAAATACAAATTTTTGTCCGTAATTGTTTTGAATGCTTTCGTATACAGATATGCCAGGAAGGATACCTGTGTGAAGCGAGAAAAAAACCATGCCACAGGAAACCATGTCAACTTCAAGCAGTATGTTTAGCAGAAAGTAAGTGTACGCGTGTGTTGTTGTTATATATACACTGTAAATATACACTACTGGGAGTCGCCGTGGCGTAGCCGCTAGACGTTCGCCTGTGATTCGGAAGATCGTGGGTTCGCTCCCTGACAGAGGCAGACTTTTTTTTTCTCCAAAAAATGACCTTGGCTCCCAGGTAGACCCAGCCTTGAATGGGTACCAGGTGCAGTCCTGGGAAGTAAAGGCGGCCGATATGATATGACAACATCACCCATCTTGTGCTGATAAGTCTATAAAAATATAGGTCTAGCCCTATATGCATTATACGCCTAAAGACGTGGAAAGGGGCTCTTTACTTTACTAAATATATACTACGACTACGACTACTTCTACTACTACTACTCCTCCTCCTACTACTACTACTCCTACTCCTACTACTACTACTACTACTACTACTACTACTACTACTACTACTACTGCTGCTGCTGCTACTGCTACTATGACTGCTACAACAACCACTTTTACTATTAAAATTAATAGAGCAACTAGTATTATTGTTGCTGCTGCTACTTCTACGACTACGACTACAACTGGTACTACTACTGTTATTACTACCACTATTGCTGGTACTGTTACAACTACTACCTTCACTATAATCACCGCCATCGCCTCGGCCACAGCAGCCACTACCACAGACTTTGCGACTTCTAGCAAAACAACAAATAAAATCTCCGTGCATTGTTTCTTTCCCCATTATGTCTGCCAGAATTTCACTCAAGGGTGATGACGAAATAGGATAAATGTCAGGGCAACCACTGGTGATAACAGTTATAAGACAAGGAAGGTGGCGCTATATTGGACACATCTTTTGAAGAATTGAACACAGATTAACCAAACAGGCACTAAAATGTGAAATAAATTGACGGAGGAAGCCAGGACGTACACAAGAAACTCTAAAACGAACGTTGATGAGAGAGGCCAAAGGTACTGGACAAAATTCCATCCACGACATTATAGAGACAGCACAGGATAGAACGGAGTGGAGGAACAGACAGCAAGCTTATATGACATTAAAGGGCATAGCAGGTCAGTGATTGACCTTGCAGCAATATTTCAAGCACATCACATGTCATCGTATTTAATCGTAAAGGATGTTTCAATAATAATAATAATAATAATAATAATAATAATAATAATAATAATAATAATAATAATAAGAACAGGAAGAAAAAGAAGAAGAAGAAGAAGAAGAAGAAGAAGAAGAAGAAGAAGAAGAAGAAGAAGAAGAAGAAGAAGAAGAAGAAGAAGAAGAAGAAGAAGAAGAAGAAGAAGAAGAAGAAGTTTAACTCTTGGGTTCTACTCATTCTTCATTCCTCCTGCAAGCATATCAAACGATGTGTATTTGTTGGAGCAGGGTTAGGTAAGGTCATGACAGACACAAAATGCTAACACACAGAGTTTGTGGCGACTACACTAAATCAACGGCCCTAAATCCTCCGGCTCCAGTTCCCCTCTCCCCCTGCCCTACGCTGCCCTAAGAAGTAGTAAACACAACCAGTAAAGACAGTATTCGATTGTTAGCCCAGGTTCGATGTGTGGCACCGACATGTGATACCGCGCAATGCCAGCCGGGATACGAACGTGCCAAAGACAGAAATGGATGCCCAGTTTGTGACTGCGTTAAAAAACAAGGTAATTGCACAACACTAACAACATTATAGTATTACTAGCGTGTATGTCTGTCTATGTTTCTGTAGCTGTGTCTAACTGTCTGACTTTACCTCGAGATGGACCTCAAGACCACGCAGCGCACTCAGCTGAGTGGTCTCGATATATAGTATCCGCATCGAGTGCTGGAGGTCCCGGGTTCAAACCTGAGGTGAAATCTGACATTTTTTCACGTGGATTTCTAGTAATTTTCCCTGGTCTGTGGGTAGTAAGACAGGACGCCCGTGTGTACTGTTTTACGCACATAAAAAATACCTTGGCAGTTGGAAATCGAGAAAAAAGAGGAGGACTCGAGAAGGGAGCTCTAGAGTGAAGTTAAAAAGCTGCGGAGGACATGGGGAGAGCTGCATGGGATAGCGAAGGATAGAACGAGTTGGCGTGAGGTGGTTGAGGGCCTATTCTACTCTGGGAGTTTAAAAGGCAGAAGAATGAAAGAAGAAGAATGCTAAAAGACTAGTTGATATGGCTACAGATGAAAGGATAATCCTCACAGCGCCGGTTTCTTCCTAACTGGCTCTGTTTCTCTCGACAAAGAGAGTAGCAACTTGTAAAAACGTGGTAACAAATCTGAACTTCCCAGATCCAGCAACGATCTCCAAATATATCTGCAAAATAATAGTTAAAGACTTGGGTTTAAGCATTCTCTGTATTTCAAATGGCCTGTACAAGTACACTGGTTCGTGTCTGAACCCTGAGACGTTCGTTGATGAGAGGTCAAAGGTGGTAAACTTGATCATGCATATTGTTATTTGACCACAATATGCTTTGTTGATAAAATACAGCTGCTGTGTGAAACATGTGTGTTTGAAAAGGCTTAATGAGAGACGGGTCTACGTGCCCAGTTTGTGACCCACTGAAAATATAGTTCGTTCGTTCGTTCATTCCATCCACAATATTGACAGAACTCCACAAGACAAATCTGAATGAAGGGCTAGAGTAAGAGTCCTATCTGGTAGTCTGGTAGTCTTAGTTTCAGCTTCATAGCAAACGGGTCACCCCATCTTTGCACCTCTCCTGTACCAACGAAAAACACACAGAATGTTTATCACAGTCCCTTGTGGAAATATTGACAGACTGCTGTCTCAGTATATCTAACATACACTGGCATTAAAGCATACGGTAGCCATTCGATTTGCTAACACAAACAGTCTGACATTAGAAATGCAGTTCATCATTGATGGTAGCAGAAGTCACCATCAGATCAGCAGTTGCCCACGCAATCAATTTTAATCACAGACGGGAACCACCAAAATTGCACGACAGGCATCACGCCATTTTCTGAATCTACACTTCACACCACCACGTTGGTCACAGTCGAAAAAACATTCCAAGTCAAATCCGCAGCTCTCAGTGTCACGCAATGCATTCAACTCAGAAGCTGGGTGACGAAACTATATCCAGTCTACAAATGCAGCAAAAATGCATCGGCCACCGTCCGGCATTAGCAAAAAATGTGCCTCTGCTTCGAACAGTGCCCCTGCTTAGCGTCCATTTTGACCGGAAGCTCTCGAGAGTCCTATATTACGTATAACGCTACGACACGATGAGAATGATGAGGACTAGGTTTTTTTTTTCTTTCCGATACGCAGTACTAGTACTCATTTGTATGCATAATTTATGTTCAGACACACTAAGGTGAGTACCGGCACCTTTTCTTGGATGCTTGTGGCAACGGCTCTTTTTCTTTCCTCAGAAGAAAAAAAAACCTTTGGCGACGATGATGATGGCTCTGACTGGAAGTAAAATAGTCCCACTTTTTAAGAAGGCACTGAATCATTTACAATCATTATGCACGTACCTTCTTTTTCTTCCTTTCGTCTCTCAGTGGAATCAAAGACCATTAATGACCTCTCAACGTGTCTTTTGTTGACTTACCCGTGACCAGCTGTAGTGCTCGTGCGTGCAGTTTTAACCTTTTCGGTTATTACCTGGCCGTTTAACACCCGCAGATTACTAAATCTCAGTCTGTGTAGCAGACCAGTAGGGTACTCCCAGATACCCTGTTAAATATCAAAAGAAGTTATAACTAGTGTGACCAAAACGTTCACATCAGTCTGGTGTCACCTGATGATCTCTGCGGCTCAGATTTTGATGACCGGCTGGGTTTAGCAGCTGGACAACGAACAGGCGACCAGAACATCGATTTGAGTCTCTGGATATGTTGAGTTGATTCAAGAATTGACATCACAGCACTCGGAGCGTTCTCATGCGCGCTTCGTCCTGATCTTCAGCAGTTCCAGTACTGATCGTACCTGTTGTAATCTGGTTGTATGTCCATCTTGCATCACTTTGAGTGTAGTGAGCCAGCCAGACTCTCTGGCTACTCCCAGGTGCATATGCGGATGTACAGAAGAATAGGTCAAATTTCATGAAGAAAAAAAAAAAATCAAATACAGAGGTTCTGAAAAGACTAGGACTATTAAGAGAGTTACTAAACAAAACAAAACAAAACAAAAAAGATACATTTTTTGGTCACACGAAAAGACAACACTTTTTTTTTTAAACCTGGAGGGAAATGTTAAAGGCAGAAAAGCAAGAACTAGACAACTTTACAAGTGGGTGGACAATATCAAGAGATGGACGCACAGCAGCCTGAGACAGCAGACAGCGACAAGAGACAGAGGGCGTTGGAGATCCATTGCAGCCAACCTTTATTGTGGAGGCAGCACCTGATTGAATGAGCAGCTAAATGTTATAGGGGATGATCTTTCAGTCTTGCAGCAGTCCTCGCAAGTCACTTCCTGCTGTTATTTTTTTAAAATTCGATTGTACTCCATGTCCCTCCAGGACAATGGGATCTGTGCGTGTGCGCGCGCGTGCTTGCGTGTGAGTGTGTGAATGTGTGTGTGTGGACGCGAGGGCGTGCGTGCGACGTGTGCAGGACATACTTGTTTGTGTAAAGACTCTGAAGAGGGCCGACGTGATGTTGCGGTCAAATTCTCGCCTGTAGATCCGAAGGTCATGGGTCGGTATCTGCATGGAGCGGGATCCAAACATGACCCAGGCTCCCAGGTCGACCCAACCTCAAGTTGGTAGCAGGTAAAGTACTGGGAAGTAAAGACGGCAGATGGGATTGTAACCACAATGATCCACTAAGGTCGATACAAATATAAGTCTAGTCTCATATTTCCAATGCGCCGCTGGTGTGTAAAGGGACTTTTACTAGACTTTACTAAATATTCTGAGGCTTCCGTGCTTAGGCGTTGCGAGTCCGACTCGTAATTTTAACGTACCGCAATCGAAACTCACTGCTGGCTGTGTGGATTTTTATCAAGGTATTGGGCGTTTCAGGTCGACCCAGCCTAAAATGGATATCAGGATGTATGTCCTGGGAAAGTTAAGACGGCCGGCGTAATGCTGACCACATTACCCACCTAGTGCCGAATGGTTTGTAAAAATAATGTTGCTCTTCCTATATGCCCGATGCGCCTAAAGGCGTGAAAAGGGATCTTTACTTTTTACTTACTAAAGATTCTGACAAACTGAACCGGCGAATGATGATATTCTGCAGATTGTGGGACAAACTGCCTAACACTGTGTGCCCATGGATTCGAGTTGAGGCCCGATGGATGCCCCTTGTGCCTGTGTAAACCAGAGCCTCACAACCTGTGCTCTGACATGGTAGGTAGGATGTTTAAAAACATGTACTGACGCATTTGGATGAAACATCGGTGACCGGATCTCCCAATGGCTCGGCGGTAGACGACTTCGTGGCCGGTCAGGACAGTATTTGGGTCAGTCTCCTTTGATCGCATCAATACTGCAAGGATTTTGGTGGCGTCCAATGCTTAATCCTTTTATCTGGCGCACATAACCTAATCACACTTATAACCTAAAGCTCCTCCTTCAGGGATGCTGGTTGAACGTGGCGAATCTGTTTTCATAAAAACTTATGATGATGATGATGGCTGAGTGAAACATAGGCGCCAGAAGCTGTAGGCTCAGACACATTTAGCCCCCACCACCACCACCACCCCACCCCACCCCTTCCCCAGGTCCCCCAATAATTTTTAAGGCTGTTTATGACTGAGTTCTCCCGCCCCTATAATTCTTAGGGGTGCAAATTCCCATTTCAACAATGTACATTCTTTTTTTTTTTTAAAGTAATTATTTATACCTTTTATATAATTTTAAATACATTATTACATTTAGTCACTATTGAGCAAGTAATAAAAATGATGAAAATGATATTAAAAATAGTAATAATTATGATTGTTATTGTGACGTGGCGGGGTGGATTAAATGTTTATAATGTTGAGTAGGGATTTTCCTCTCAACACATTCCCTCCACCAGATTACCGGAACTAAAATCCGAGCTATGTTGCTCTCAGACAAAGTCCTGGATATCCAAGAAAACAACCATATTGGCTCGTTAAGTACTTTAACATTAGCTGCACTTGCTACCCACAAGAGAAGGAAAGGAATTTTAGATGTCTATCATTATACTAAATGAATTATTAGACAGGGCAAATGATTCCTCCGTCATCTACCTTCTCCCGGTGTTATTATGAATGATTAAAGAATTATTATCATATTAATTGAGCTCCCACCAAATGGTATTCTATCTTAACAGTTTAATTAAACATGTAAGAACAGACATTTGGAATTACAAAAACTGATGCAGGATAAAACTTGACATACAGCTTTTTTTACTAACAATGAACTTCCCAGTTTGTTGATTTACACAAACAGTGACTGGTTAAGGTGATGATAGTGATAGCTTCAGCGAGAAAACAGCTCAGGGGTTTAGAGTGGTGTGATGATGGTGATATGTTAACTTAAAAGATGTTAACTTAACTTATAAGCCTCTGACAGCCGTGAGGAACTGTCAAGCTTGTCCAACTCTTCCTTGCCTGTTTTCTGCCTGTTTCAGCTTATTCTCCACTTCATCCCCACCTCGTTCTCCACATCGTTCTCCACCTCGTTCTCCACCTCGTTCCCAGCTGGCCGAGTCTAACACAACGTAGTCTCTTTCATGGACTGATCGTCACATGGGCGCTGTAATCATGGAAACAAACACATACGTGTAGTATCTTGACTTACACTAAGAATACATGTATTAATTAATATAACATAAAATAATAAAATATATCCCATCACTCCTCATCATATTCAACATTCTCTCCAGTCTAGTCTGAAGGTCTTTTGTCTTACATGGACGTCACATATCCTGCCTTCCCTCTAATGCTATGTCATGATAGTTGACTTTCTAAGTCTGTTGTCCGTCATCACTCAGAATTCCAACTGGCTGACATTGATATTACATGACCACGTGGAGCAGGTTATGTGCTGAAAACTCCCACCATGTTATATGTGCATGATGTCTGGAATATTGTCTTTCAGTGGCAGTGAATTCTATACACCCATCATTCTTCCCCTGGGGTTATCAATCCCCTGTTTAGGTGAACACCTTAAGTGAGCACATGGTGGGCACACAAACGTAATCGCATCCCTGCACATATTTGGGCATCATTTCCCACAGTCCCCACTAATATTTTGGCTGATTATGGAAACAATATAATTACATTTCATTATAGCAAATGTCATTGTTCACATCTTATTTTATACACATGAAAACATACACTGAAAAACATGTGACACAAACATACAAGAAATAGGAATAGTTTTGCAGTTCCCTAACTGAGATACTGAATACTCACAAAAAACTATTTCAAGCAGAATGTGCAGACAAATTAGGAAAAGGTAGTATAGACTAAGCTTAACTCCCTAACCTATGTATACAAGATTAAAATTAATATTTTACCTGGGAACTTTCCATCAATCGCCAAACCAGAATCCGACCGTAAAATGTACCTTTACGTCGACCTGTGTTTGTTGCTTGCTAGCTGCGATGTGACGGGAATTCCAAAGGTTCGGAGTATACTATCTATTGTCCAAATTAAACTCCTCCCTTTACTAGGTTCTACTCAACCCTCAAGACGATGACTTAAGCCACGCCTCTGAGGTAACTATCAGATAAAATTGGCTAACAAGTGGCCTGTCACTCAATTCTGGACTGACATCCCTAGAGCAAACATTCTTAAGTGACCCAATCTAGTTTACAACGAATCTAACTGGCGGGTGTTAAAAGACGGTCAGTGAAGCCATTGAGTTTCCTACTTGACCAGGATCAAACATTCCTAATTGGCAACCACCTGTTCTCCGGAGAATTACACTGACTTGCGAACTCCAGCCTCTGGTCGCCACAATCTCTACTAGTCCACTCTCAGTTCCTCTGATCTAGAAATTTCAAAGCAGCCCCTCAGTCTGTGGTCAGGAGATAACATTCTGACACTGACACATGAGAATAGAATTCCTAGCTACAGTGTAAAGTTTTAGGTAATATTACCCAAGACTCAGTCGCTTTGTCTGGACTAAGGACTGGAAACATTTAAATCAATTTGGTTTAAAGTAATATCAATAACCAGAAGAACTTATTACGAGTACTCAACTTCTGGAACCACTGAGGTCGTCTCGTGACAGTTATTAATAAAAAGGGACAAAGTCCGCACTCAGACAATATGTCAAGGACTTGATACCCAGTCCTTACAAACCCGAGTGGATCAGTCACTGTAACGATGGTTGGCATATGTATGCAGAATGGGGAAAAATCGCCAGCATGGCAGGCATGGGAGGCTAAGAACCAGGGAACCAGACCTCCAGGACGACCCAGTGTGCGCTTGGAAGACAACATCTGACAGTCCCTAACTGACAAAGGATTGAAATGGAACAAAGCCAGAAAGAAAACTGCTGACAAAGACGTCTGGCGATCTCTCTGGCAAACCTGTACTCTCCAAAGTAAAAGAGGAGCGACTACGTTAGATTAATATTATTATTGATGCTCACTTAACACGGTTTAAACCCCTTGAGACCCGCCCCTAAACACGTGTAATAGCAAATCCCAAAGATTTCATGGTGGCAGAGCACCTGGTTATAAGAATGTATAATTAAATGTTCTATACATATGGGTGGGATGTGTAATTATATGTGCTGCACATGATACATGGTAAGTTTAATTACATATACCGTACGTGGCAGGTAAGCAGAATTTGTAATTATATGTTAGTTAGATGGTTAACATTTTTGTTATTTAGTTACGTACTTAGTTATTTAGTCTGTCAGTCGTTCAGTTAATTAGTTTAGATAGTTTAGTCAGTCAGTCAGTCAGTCAGTTAGTCAGTCAGTCAGTTACTTAGTCATTTAATAAGATAGTCAGTCAATCAGTCAGTAGACATATAATACGCGCTGCACATTAAATCATTCAGTTGGTTATGATTCGGCCTCATCCTCAGCAAAACCCCAAAATTGGGATGACTGAACGAACGGAAACCAGTTCTGCGTTGGCTGACTATTCTTCACTAGCCCTCTCTTACCGGTCTTGTCTAACTTATCGCTTTTGACTGTGGCTGCACGATTTATGCAGTAAAAAGATATCAAAGCACACAAAAAGTAAAACCAATCAGCTTCACACTGTCACAAACATAAACGACTAGTGAAAACTGCGGGTAGATAGCCTTCATCAGCGCATTTCAGGAATATACAATTATACAAAACCAAAAACAGGAACAAAGTCACTTAACCGAAGTATCTCCGAGAGGAATCACATATCTGTCTAGCCAGTTGAATCTCTGACAAGTGTGTGACCTCGATGTATGATTGGACAACGCATGCTGGAAATACATGAAGTGTTATATGTTAGACAATTCATTAAAACAAAAATTTTCAGACTTGTGGGCCCGGTGAAGAGTGTCGATTTGTACAAGCCACTTGTCTCAGAGCGCCGTGTCCACCAGTCGCAGTATGTGTTTCAAGTGAGTATACAGAGGTTAAAGTTTATTTCTAACCACAGGAGAGTGTGGCTTAGATTACTACATTTTCTAGTACGTAGGGGCGCCGTCACAAAGAAAAACTTTACGGAGGTCAACTAAATTTATGGAAAAGAACGAATGGCTCAGCCTTATACACATTTTCTAGATGTGGCTGGAGTAGGATGGGAGAGGGGCGGGATGGTAAAGGAGAAAAAAAAAGGGGGGGGGGGTTAGGTAAGTCTTTCAGTCCTGCTAGCTAATATCTAGGGAGGTAAGAATGGCAAAAATAAATTGATGGATGTATGCCACTTCCAGAGGGGCTAAATATACAATCCTTGCAGAAAACAAATGTCTTCCGAGAAACATAAAGTAAAGTGAAGATCCCTTTTCAGGCATTTAGGCGCATCGGGCATATGTGAAGAGCACGCAAAGTTTTACAGACCAATCGGCACTTGATGGGTAATGTGGTCAGCATTACGGCGGCCGTCTTCACTTCCCCAGGACATACATCCTGGTACCCATTTTAGGCTGGGTCGACCTGCGACGCCCCATACCATGATATTCCGAGAAACATGAGATGTAAAAACATACATAACATGTTGACTGTTACACGTCAGTAATACCCAGTCATAATATCCACTCACGCATTATACGTTGTTTGGAACAGAAAGAGTTAAGGGGCATAAGTCTTGTTTTAGAAAATAATATTAATATGCTGAATGGTAATTAAACATAATAATAACAAACATTTTAAAATCGAAATGCACATCGTCAAGGAGGTCGCTTTGACCCTTACAAAATATTAAGGAGCCTCAGGGCCTCCCCCCCCCCCTTTCCCGCTCCCGCTTTTTCCACCCCATAGTATTTTTTTTTGGGGGGGGGGGGGAGAGGGGGTTGGGAAAGAAAGAGGAGAAAAGAAGGGGGTGGGATCAGAAGACCTAAGCTGTCAGGTTTGTGTGCCCCCT